TTTGAGCTATAAGGCCCGAGATTTCTGACGCCACGAAATTTCCTCCAAAACTGTAATCTCCACACATTCTGCTTGACAAGCTGCTCTCCTACTGTGTTGGGATTCAGAAAGAACACACTCCCCTTCCAGTCTATCGATCTCGGCAATATCAGCCAAAGCCCTATTCTTTCTCCACTCCAAGCTCCCAAAAACCTCCTTATTCCACCTTTTAAGATTATTTTTCAGAATATGAAGCTTTCCTGCAAGAATAAAACTCGACGTACCCACCACCAGGTTCTCCTCCCACCACGAACGCACAAGTCCCTGGAAGTTATCCACACGAAGCCACATACTCTCAAATCTGAAAGGAGTGCAACGAGATCTCAACCCTCCACAATCCAGAACCAAAGGAATGTGATCCGAAGTCACCCTAGTCAACACAGCCTGAACAATATCCGGGAACTTCTCTTCCCACTCACCGGAGATCAAAAATCTATCAAGACGAGAGAGAGTTGGTATTTCCCTTCCACTGGACCAAGTGAAAGAAGCTCCCTCAAGAGGAAGATCAATAAGCTGATGACCATCAATAAAGTCAGAAAAGTGCATCATAGCCCGAGTCCATGCACCTTCTGAAGATCTCTCTGCCAGGAACCTCACCACATTAAAGTCACCTGCCACACACCAATGAAGAGACCACCTCTCTTTCACCCCACTCAACTCCTCCCATAAACCACCCCTCACATCATCATCAACTGGCCCATACACCCTAGAAAAGCTCCAAGTGAAACCATCCTCCTCCATCACAAAGGCACAAGATAGAGAAAAAATCTCTCGAAAAACATCCACCTTAGCCATTCATCTTCTATCCCACATAATGAGAACACCGCCTGAAGTCCCAACAGAATCCAGCGCCTCCCACTCCACAAACCGGTTACCCCACAAACTCTTCACCATCCGATCAGTCATAGAATCGATCTTAGTCTCTTGAAGACACACCAACTGCACCCCCCATTTCCTCACCGCCATCTTCACCACCTTTCTCTTGCCCGGACCATTGAGGCCACGGACATTCCAAGATAAAAGTCATAGCTTCATAAGGAGACATTCTCCCCTATCACCCCCTTACCCCTCCCTCCTCCCTTAGCACTCCCTCTCCTTCCCCCCCTCAACCACCCTATCATAATTCACATCAGAAACCAGATTCCTAAGCTCCCTTTTCCCATTTTCACGGAGAAATGTTTTTCTTCTTCCGACTCCTCCTTCTAGAAAACTGAATCATCTCCCCCTCTCTCCCCTCTGCAGTAGCCTAAAGAATTGCTAAGGCCTGATCCCGATTGCCGTTGCAAGAGACACCCAGAAGTTCACTAGTAACCCTAATATTAGCCTTGACCCATTCCTTTCCAGTATCCTCAGCTTTCTATCTACACACCTCACTGCCCAAATCCTCTGGAAGAACAATAGCCAGTGGGTCCACCACCCCCAAGTTAGCATGACCCTCCTCGTCCCACAACATTAGATCAAGAGACCTGCTCCCATCTCCCTCAACTCCCTTATCCACCACTGCTTCCTTCACATGAGAAGACCAGTCCTCACCATAGTTTGAACATCAGTTTGAAAGGGTCCAGATTGCAATCAATAGTTTGAACATCAGGCGAAAATCTGTGCCTCTGCAGTTCCTTTACCAAAAGAGAAGCTGATTCATCGCTAAGGGAAATACGGATGTCTTTGCCCACACAAACAGTCACCAAATCAGGCGCAGAACCCTTCCAATAAGTCATTGGGCCAAGTTTTAGAGGAGAACAAGACCCTGCCGATCCACTCAAAAAGAAGCTTGGCCGACCTGCCCATTTCCTCCCCTGAGGAATCATTATACCGAGACGTGGAAGAAAACTCCGAGCATGTCTCAGCAAACCCGGCACACAACTAGTTGAAATCCCTGTCTCCAGACAAACAAACCGTCCCATCCCTTTCTGATGGCCCAACATCCCCAAAATCAGAGCCAACCGTAGACCTCCTCACATCCACCGAGTCACCCTCTATAACAGGCGACAACACCTGCTGCCTCCCAGCAAAATCCTCCTCCCCCTTGCTTCTCAACAACTCACTAGAAGGAATAAAAGAAGAGATAGAAACTGATGGAGCGTTCCGGACATGAGAAAAAGACGACTTACCTTGGCACGGATAAGAATCCTTACGGGCAACCCACTTCTGTTTGTCCTTTCTGGTCCATTTCTTTCTAGAATGCTTCAAAAGATTCCGAGAGAGACCCTCCTCCTTCATGGCCTCAAAATCACCATTATCTTCTTCACCCAAAGACCCAGACTGTAGAGGATCAAATCTGTTACCCGAGAGCCGATTCTGACAACACGAACCATGCCGGAAAGACTTCGGACAAACCCCATCCCCTTTCGTCATGCTCAAACTCACCTTCGCCCAGTTCGTCTTTTCACTCCTCGACCAAGACCGTGATGCCGAGCTTCTCTGAGATGTGTCCGGATAAGAATCTTGAAAAAAATGGCTATGATACATTTCTGAAATGGGCTGCCCACCTTGAAATGAAATTGAGAGGTTTTTATTTGGGCCCCATTTAACCACCCTCTCCTTAGCCAATCTTGGCTTAACCTAGGCTGGTCCAGCAACAACAAAAGGCCCAGCAAGCTTGAGGCGTCCATCCCTTTTAGCGGGCTTTGAGGGCCGCCCCAGCCCAGAAGGAAGCCTAGAACCACCCCCCTCATGCTTTTCCTTGCCAGGCCTTTTTGAACCTTTAACATGAGACCCACGTTAAAGAAGCCCAACCTCATCAGGCCCAAAAGAATTAGAATTCAAAAAACGCCGAGAGTCACGAGGCTCAGCACGTGGAGGGGCAGCTGTCTTCCACTCACAACGGTCGTCGTTCCTCCTCCGACCACGTGTCACATGAGATGCCTTCCCATTGCCACTCGCTTGAGGCGCGTGGTGTCTCCCACGTCCCTGACCTTGAGTCTGGCTGTGCTGCACCTCCGCCTTTTGGATCTCCGACTTTGATCTACCTCCACCACCAGATTTGCGAACCAAACGGGAGGCAGCCGACACCGCCGATGATCCCAAATCACCATTTCCAGCATAAGTCCCAGTCAGCGGGACCATGGTCGGAGCAATTTCTTTAGATAACGAGATTCTAAACGCCCACTGACCATCCTCCACCACAATACTCGTCGGAATCACACCACCGTCAGCCACAGTGATCACAATCCTTTCCGTGTCGCTCATCTCAAAGGCCTCCACTTCCCGAAAGCTTCCACACACATCTCCAATGGCGATGAAAAGCTTCTGGCACCAAAGATGCAGCGACAGACCATACAAAACGACTCGCCGGAATTTATTCCTCAACCTTAGACCAAAGCACCCAACCCTGTAGTACCAGAGATCAATAAAAAGTTGAGCCTCACCCCACACTTTCTTGCCCCAATCAAGGACCTTATGAGGCTCCAACGCCGACGGGAACCGGAACAGCAAGAGCCCGTCCGGCAAGGAGTTAACCCTAAACCCGCCTGAAATCAACCAAGTCTTCGTGGCCCAATCTTCAATCTCCTCCAAGAAACCCACCTCTTTGTCAAAACACCCAACGAGGCAAGCTCTAAGAACCTGTTCGCGAGAGGAAGTGCTGAGCCTATCCACCCTAAACACATGATCCTTCTGAGAAGAAATCCGATTCACCTCCCCTTTAAAATACAGGCGAGGAAGACGGGCAACCTCCAAAAAAGACAGCTTCTGACAATCGAACGCTTTCATGAACAAAACCACAACCAACGAAGCAGTGAAACCACCAGAGAAAGAGAACGTAAGAAACGAAAGCAGTAGAGGATTTCACCGGAGTTAATGAGCCGGTTTCAAATCCAGTGCTCTGTTGCTGAACGGATCGAAAAAATTCAGAGAAATTTTCTTTGGGGTGGAAAAGGAAAGGAGTTTAAGTATCATCTTATTAATTAGGAACAAGTTTGCAAACCTTTAAAGTTTGGCGGTCTAGGTATTCGGAACTTGGTCCCTTTTAATAGAGCCTTATTGGGGAAGTGGTTATGGAGGTTCGATAAAGAGCGTCATCGACAATGGAGAAGAGTTATCTTGTGTCGTTTTGGGGAGGAGAGTGGAGGTTGGTCCTCTCTTCCTGTTTCTATTACCGGAGGCTTTGGCATTTGGAAGTTCATTCGGAAAGGTTGGAATGTGTTTTCCACCCATATTCAGTTCAAGGTTCATAATGGTATGAAGGTTAGATTTTGGGAAGACTTATGGTGTGGTGATCAATTGTTATCTCTTTCCTTTCCTCGTTTTTATTGCATCGCCTAGAATAAGCATGCTTACATAATTGACTGTTATCATCTTGATAACAGTGGAGTTACGTAGAATGTGCGTTTTAGGCGTTCTTTTCAAGATTGGAAGATAGCGGAAGTTTGCGTCTTTTTAGACCTGTAGTATAAACAGAAGGATGTTGGCAAAGGTTGTGATGACATTTTGTGAACCTCCTCTCTTCATGGTAGATACGAAGTTCGATCCATGTTCTTGTGTTTGTCCAATTCTTTTGGTCATAATTTCCCATGGAAGTGTATTTGGCATTCTAAAGCTCCTCTTAGAGTCGCCTTCTTTGTTTGGACTGCTACTTGGAGAAAAATTCTAACATTGGATAATTTGCGTAAGAAAGGTAATACCACTATTAACTGGTGCTGTCTTTGTAAAACTGATAACGAGTCCGTAGACCATCTTTTTCTGCATTGTCCTGTTGCATCTGATTATTGGAATCTCATATTCAGTATTTTTAGTGTTCAGTGGGTAATGCCTAAGCACTCTTTCCAATTAATCGACGCTTGGAAAAGATGCCCTGGTCATGCTCGTGATTTTTGGATAGTCGCCCCACACTGTGTTTGGTGGTGTATTTGGAGAGAGAAATAACAAAAATTTCGAAAGGAAAGAATCGTCTTTTGCAAACCTTAAGTCTCTTATTCTTCGCTCTCGTTTCTGTTATGTTAGAAACAGCGCTTGCTCATCGATTAATGATTTTTTAGTTCTATTAGACTCTATTGGTCCGTAGGTTTGGCTTTTGCTCTCTCATTTTTGTGTATTAGGGACGCATTCCCCTTTTGAACGTTTTTCTAATATATTTTTTACTTATCAAAAAAAAAAAAAAAAAAAAATGCAATACCATGACAATATCTTTAATTAAAAAGAAGTACTTGATGAACAAACGGATTATAAGAAAACACATTCAAGGGAGGGAGAAAAAAAACCAAAAAAACAAACAAACAAACAAAAAAGGAAAGTACAAAGCCAATCCAGCTGAATAATATCAGATTGGATTGGAAAGTGCTATTGTGAACTTGGCTAGATTAGCATAACAAAGGCAAATAGTGTGAGGAATAATGATAATGAACAATAACTCAGCTTCAAACATAACAACCTTATAGACTTGGTTTTCCTCAACATACAAATCTGAAAGAATAACTATAAGAAGTAATAACTCTGCTTCGAAATGTCGATCAAGTACCTACTACACCCTATTGGTGTTTTTTAAATATAAAAAAAGTGTAAGATGACTCAATGAAAAGTAAACAAAAATAGACTGGGATTTTTCATTACAACTTAATTTTCATTTTTTTATTTTTTTTTCTTTGGGAGGGTAGTTGTAGAAGAACCCTCAGTAAAACATAGTTGTGTGGGAATAACAGGAGAACATAATAAAGTGCATCATGCAATAAATGTAGTCTTTTCAGTTCAACATTTGATTTCTAGAAAATGCACCACATCCAATTTTCAGATAAACATGAGTTCGTGATCCACAGAGCTTAAAAACAATCGGGAAAATCTTAATGAGTAATCAAAAGAAATACTTCATGAAGCCATTTTAATAGTTGAATTTTCTTTCAACATTTGTTCTTCAAGGATTTGTTGAGTAATTATTCTTCTTGCAGTGATACATGCATTGTGTTACAAAGAGTTCAATATGAAGCTTTCACAAATATTGTTGTAACATATCTAACACAATTGATGTTACTTTGAACAGCATGAAGTCAATAATTGAACGGTACAATAAATCAAAAGAGGAACATCACCAATCGGCAAACTCCAGTTCTGAGGTTAAGGTAATCTTCAATACAAAGTCCTCCGAGTTCATCTGTAAATAGTTGATAAATAGTTTCGTTTCATTACATTTACCTTTCTTTTAACACATGCATAAAGTAGAAATTTTTTCCTTATAATGGTAGAATACACAACTTTTTAGTCTATGGAGCATGCTGGATCTCTAGAGAGCCTAATTTCGCACATGACGTATCTACAGAAATGGTAGGGTGCTTTTTGCCGTTGGCACATCATTTATTATCATGCCACTTAGATGATGACCAATCCGTGGCTAACTTTATAGTCTAATTGAGAAAACAAGGTTGAGTGGTTTTTTTCTTTATGTGACTTTCTATTTCTCTTCTTTTCTAGAAGGAAAAAGGACAGAAAATGTAACATTCATGAAGCCATTTTCTTTCTTCTGACAAATTTTAGATGTTTTGTAAAAGATAAACTTGGTCAAAATAACAACTATATAACTAATAAACTAAGAATGGTGGGTTGCTCTAACAGACCCGATGCCACCATCGTAGACCCAAAAAAAACATAAAAAATTGCCCCGATATTTACTGTACTAGTCTCCTTATATTCAATTATTTGTAGTAGACATAATTGTTGCACACTTCCCATGCCTAAAATTATTGAAGTATAAAGAAAAGAAAAGTACAAATCAACAGTTAAAGTTCCCAGACATATATATCACAAATCAGTAGCGCACACAACTATATTACATTTCAATTGACTTGCTGGTGGTTAATAAAAGACGTGCTCAAGAATCTAACCAGTAACATTGCTGAAAATTTATCAAACATTTTATCTTAACTGATAGACATGTATTTAATAACCTATACTCACGAGTTTCTAAAACATGAAACATGCCTACAATGACATAGCTGTTTGAGAGAAACAAACCTTTTCTATGTTTTGTGGTTGTATGTAATGGTTCTGTCGTGTTTAGAGCCTTACTTTTAGTAGGCCCTAAGTCCTGAAAGAGAAAAGTTGTGTTAGGTAGCCTAACATCCAACAGGACACACAACTTTTGTTATGACGATCTGAGCATGAACTTGACTCCAAATAGTTGGAAAAGGGTTCTGTCAAATTAAGTTGAGAACCAAAAGAAATAAGCAAATTGGTATGAGAGTAAATGATCAGATACTTCAATTTGATATGCTAAGCCATCTGCATCAAAAAAAGTTAAGCAAGCTAACATGCATGACTGAGTATTGCATATAAAAGGGCCAAAACATTAAATGAAGAAGTGGAACGGGCATGTTATGGATGCTCCAAAAAACATAGAATAGTCTAAGTGAAAAGGGTATATACAACACTAGTCAAAAACCAGAGTTCAAGATCTAGGGATGATACAATAAGCAATGTTACTTGGACCGGAGTACATGTTTATTAGTAAAGAGTCTAAAGACACCATCATTGATCATACTAAACATTTCCAAGCCTAAATAAGAATACCATTTGATCATAAAGCCTGTTTTCATTTTTCTTATTGTATTTTTCAATCTGCACACTCCAATCCTTGGAAAATTTTGTTTTCTTTAATATCCTTTTTGTTCCAATATTCCCAAGTTCTCTATATGATTTTCATTAGACAATTTCTCAAAGTAACTTTTCAACCTTGTGGATTTCATCATTTTTCAGCTAGACTACAAGGTCCTCACCCTTTGTTCACTTTTTAATAAAATTAAAATATCTTCTTTTCCTCCCCCTTTTTTTTTTTTTTTTGATAAGTATCTTCTTTTCCTCTCCCTAAACTTATTTTTCCAAGTAATTCAGTCTAATCAGCAGTATCTGAGTACATTACTAAATCATGCTATTGTACTTGAATAGTACTGGCAAAGAGAGGCAGGAATGCTGAGGCAGCAACTCCAGAACTTACAAGAAAAGCATCGGTAAAATCTCTTTCCTGCTCACATGAATTTAATATATCAGATAGGATTCAAGCTAAGTGATACATTTAAAAATATCATGGTATAAGAGAGCAGTCTGAATTTTTTCACAAATATGATTTTTACTTCTAGAAATTGGCATGTCAGAAACTTGCCAACATAAAACCATACAGTAGTTTAAAAACGCAAAAAGCCGTCCATAATTGCTAAATTACCAAATGTCCAGGAAAACATGTGTATTTAACATTTTCAAATGCATAGCCTATTATGTGCCATTACTTTATCCTTTTTGTATGATTTATGATGTACGATGCTTAACCCATGCTCTGTTCTGTATATACCATGATTGGTTAAACTTTTAAGTCTTGAAAGAAATGGAACAATGAAACATGCCCAATAAGTAGATTCAGATGCATTAAATGGGTGGAACATGTATATTTATCAATGCAGATATGTCCACAAAGCCTGAAATCAGTATGCCCCTATCAAGGATAACAAGAACATACTTGAAACTTGCATCGGTGACATGCAACACCAAGTGGAGATGACATAATTCCAAATTCAACTGAAAATTTTACCAATACAAAAGATGAAGAAAAAGAAGGTAGAATAACCATATTCTTCGAAAGCCAAAATACCTCTACAAATCATAAACCAATAAGGAAATGAAAGGAGATATTCTTTGGATATGACTGGTCAATCTCATGGAAGATAATCCATAAAGGAAATATGTTATTAGAACACCTTCCAACAACCTATGCATTTTGTTATTATTTCCAATCAGACGATCCATTAATCCAACTAGTGGAGGATTATAAATGGATTTTTTCTGATTTTCATTGGAGATTATGAATAGATGGACTTTCCATAGGACCCATTTTACTGTAAGAAACACTACCATTGCCTTCATGCCCGCACCAAGGTTGCACAAGTAACACTTAACTAAGGATCCCCAAGCTAGAGAAACACCTTAATCAAATAATTCACATTTGTTTCCACAAGACAACAATTTTACAGGTCAGAAACCCTACAGAGTGTTCTCTCACAATATTGCTAAAAGATAACAATTTTACAGGTCAGAAACCCTCCTGTTGCTCTAAACCACCACATAACTTGCCTCTTTGAGAATAAAACATAAACTGAAGCACTATTAACTGGTTTCACAATCAACTCATGAGCACACTATCTAAGCCTCACTGACCTGCAAGCAGAAAAAGATTCTAATGCGGTGCCACCCCAGAAGGAGCCACCTATAAAACAGAGTTTAAAAACACCGAAACAAATGAAAATAAAAAATAAATAAAACTTTAAAACAGAGATTTTGAAAACACAGAAAAAAGAGGGGAGCACTCCCAAAAGAATACACAAGATGCCAAAGGCGAAAACTATAGCTTTAAGCTATCCACAAAACCCAAAAGATGTCCCAGAGCTTTACAATTACGCCCGTGAACCCAAAAAAATAAAGAATACAATATATCGTATTTGAGAGACCAAATAGGAGTCTCGTCTCCATCGAAGGATCTCTTATTTCTCGCACCACAAACCCCACCATAAACAAAGGAGAGTGGCCCTCCAAACATCCCTGGCTCGCCTCTCCACTAGACACCCTCTCCAAGCCACTCTCATTAACCCCCAAAATCTGCCAGAGGCAACTACGTGTCTAACCAGTCAGGGACAGTATGCCAATCCTATGCCTCCATCCTACGACCATGCGTTGTAAAGCCAACAAGAAAAGAACACTAGGAAAAAGTCGCTTTTCAAGCGATAGAGTGATGGTTGCTACCAAATGTTAACTCTTAACCTTGATCAAGCATTATGAAAATTAAATAAGTTGGCAAATTTCAACACAAATGTCCCAAAGAGACTCGGTGAACAAATACAACAAGCTACACACGAAAGAGGGCCTCTTTATGATCAAATCCATGTTTGACCTCAAGCAAGGAAGCACAATGTAAAGTAGGTAGCCCATAGCCTTCGTGGCACTATCCACAAAGCAAATTGGAGCTATATATATCTAACCGAACCTAACTCGTTGAAACTAGTCACGTCGCCAAATACCCAAGGAACCTGAATGCTTTCACTTGCTGACTGCTTCACCAAACGAGCTAATCCACACTGCCCTGCATAATCTATAAATGCCAGGGATAATTATTGGTTGAATTACACTCCCTTCTCCCAAATTAATATTACGTAACTTTCATCCGAGCATCACCCTTAATGCCACTGATCATGCCATAATACCTCGAAGAGATGCCAAGTGTCACTGTTGGCTACATTATGCAGTCTAATCCAATGCACACCCAAACATCACCAAACTAAGACCTATACTAGTGATGAAGACTCCAAAGTCAACCTTTTTCCCATTAATGCCGACTTTTAAGTTCAAATGCAAGTAAATAGGCTCCCGCTATTCAGCCTTGTCAACTCAAGCCTAATTATCAGTTCCTTGTTCCAGCAAAACACTTGTCCAACCAATGGGGTCTATGTCATCAATATTACTTCCTTGTATGCACTTGTGCTTGTGTCACCCCAAATGTCCAAGCCCAGGTGTGCAAGCCAACACATAATTCATCACCACATGTAAGTTGGCAACGGATGGTCTAGAGCACCCTTCTCCCCATCAATGAGTATGGAGGATTATTCTATGCTTACAATACATCCTCAAGCCACTACCCAAGTAAACACCATCTAAAAAAACTGCAACCTAATCCTGTAACCTGATGACTCCAGTTCCAGACATTGTATTTCATATGCCAGTAAGTGTTTTAGGACCTTTACCATTCCTTCAATTAGTCATGTAATCTAAGATCCTAAGCAAGTGAAAAAAAAAAAAAAAAAAAAACCCAAGCTAGGCAAGTTTACGCTAGATTCGCAAACCAAAGCATAGCTTGCAACTTGCAAGATATAGTAAGTGCTCATTGACAACCTCCTTTCCACAAGTCACGCATAATGTTGGAGAGGCATTGCCTTCACAGCATATTTTATGGAGCCTCTCAATAGCATAGCGGCCTGAAAAATCCGATATGAACATCCAAGGCCTGCCCAGATTCCACGAGGTAGACCCACTTACAACCAAACCTAGCACCCAGAGTAGTTGGGCTCATCATTATTTCCCACTTAAAAGAAAAGGAAAATATTTATACTTTATGCAAATAAAAGAAAAGAATTTAAGCCATTAAGCTTATAGTAAAAGGAAACCACCTAGAGAAATTATTCTGGCCCTCTACAAATAAGTGAATATCATTTGAAACCATCATTCTGCACCACTTTTAGGTGACCCCACATACAAATTCAACCTTATATACCCTGTTTCCTGGTTCAACCAAATTGCTAGGGGTGAACAAAAAACGTTAGAACCGGTAAACCGGACCGAACCAAACTGAACCGTATGGTTTAGTAATAAACACACACACACACACACACACACACACACACACACACATATTATATAGCAACTGGGAAAAGGTTGGTTGTATATAGCAAACTTGTTCAATTTATCATACACCACAATACATGGGATCATTATATATATATATATATATATATATATATATATTTCAGATTTTGGTTTGTCATTTGATTGATATATGTGTGCGCGTGTAAGAAAACCCAAAACTAACCTATCACCTAGTGTTTGTTCTGTTCGATTCCACTAGTTCCAACGGTTCGGTTCAAGTCCAATATTTTTGGAACCACTAGGACCGGTTTAGTCCTAAATTATCCCAAAAGCGGACAGGGCCAAACCCTGTGCAGCCTTATAATTTGCCAACGAAAATAGGCCATAATTATGTCTCATCAAGCACCTTCAAAGCCAGTATCCATTCCACTATACTCACCTCCAAGCATTGATTCTCTCCTTATTCCCTAGAAAGATGAATACATCTATCACTACGATGCTACCTCACAACCAACAAAAATCACCGTCCTTAACATTAGACTTCCCTCCAAAAAAACTTCTTAACCTCTACTTCAATTGAAACTCAAAATAAAAGTTCTCACTTACAGATATCCATCAGAACTGCAATCAAGAAAATTTTTCTTTTTCTTTTTTACCTTTAATAGTTCTCCCAACAAGATATCTTCCTTAATTAGATTATGTTGGTGCGTCGTGATACACAAAACAAAAGAGTAGTTTCCAGAAATGAAAGAAGCAGAGATCACTCTGCAAACTGACTCATGATTCCATCACATTCACAAGAGGAATATGTCCATCCTGGCTTAATCTTCTTACAAGTTAAACATTGACTAGAACCTTGTTTCCAAGACAAGTTTATTTAGCAGTCTTTCACCACCACCTCTGAATGCAATACAACGTAAGATTACAAGCCTGGTACCAGATACAGATGTCATTGTTTAAATTGAACAAACACTACCTTCTTGCTTAGATGTATTGTCATAAAGGACTAGAGAGCACGATATTATTTGGAGTCTTATACTGTGTAAACTGCATTGATATAGAGACCTTGACATCCAACGTTCAAGAATTAGAACTAAAATTATGCTATTTGTAAAACTAATCTGTTAGCCTCTAGGAATATCAAAATATGTTGATTAATATATTAAGGAAGATCAAAACATTAGCATTGAAGAAAAAACAAAATACATAAAGAATGTAGAGAAATAAAAAGTTATATCTACGAAAGAAAAAAAAAAAAAGAGGAAGAAAAATTAAGATGCAATGGTCCATAATAGTCATCACGTATATTTGAACCCATATATAGAAATTTGCTCGAGTTGGCCAAGTTGTTTTTTTTCTTTTTAATTTTGCTGCATTTCACAAAGAAAAAAACCATATATCGGCCAAGGAAGAAATATCTTATTACTTATATTGTATTTTGTAAAAAAATAAGCTAGAAAGTAGAAGAGAAGAATTCTTGTATCTTCCATAGTGTAAGTATATGTGGGTTTATATAGAAACCCAAGGCAGACAATCAGTACAATCATTTAGCCAATTACCAGAAATTAAGCTAATCAAATATTAATTCCTATACTCAAGCTAGCAGCATCAGAATATTCCTACAATCAAGCTAGCAGATTATATGGATCAGAATAGTCAACTCTATGAACTAATGACAGGCTCTAAACAGCCAATATTCACGACATAGCTTTTTATCGGTAAGGACTTCTATTGTATGTCTCTATATCAATTTCACTATATTACTAATGAACAGAAAAGGAGCCAGTGCAATGGAACGTAGTTTCATCTGTGGGCAATCATCGATCATGTCTGTGCCAAATCAACTCTTACCAACATCCTTTTGGGAATATGAACTCCCTCCAACTAGCTTTGATACCAGTTGTTGGAATTAAATCCCCCTTCATTCAAGCACAGACGAAGCACATCATCATACAATCATCAAGTATGCATATATGGAGGAGATACAATCATTCATCAATCAACACACACACAATATTTTACATGGTTCACCCAACCTCTAGGGCTACGTCCATGTAGAGAGAACTTTCACCATTATGAATCAAAAAGAGACATTACAAGTAGAGAATGCACTCAACCCATTCCATAAGAAGTCTATCTACCAGTCAACCTCACCGGGTCCTTTTGGGCTCAGAGCAAACCCACTTCTTATGAGGCTACATCCCTCTACACCCACCCACACAAACCTTTTTTCTTCTCTCTACCTTCTACACCCAACTCCGCCTCTATTTATAGAGTCTTCAACACATTCCTTCTTGTCTAACAAGAAGATACCGTATCAATCTTCAACTCTAAAATAGAATACTAACAAGAGACAACTTGCTTAATTACAAAGAAACAACTTACCCTACAAGTCTGCAGCCTTAGGAAAGCAATTCTTCAAATAAGAAAACAACTCCCGCACATATCAAGCAAGTGCGACCGGTTGCACTTTTCTAGCACCTTCAATCTTCACACTTCGACAAGTGCGCCGGTTGCACTTTTCCAGAGCATCATTCTTTGACATAATTTGAGACATATTCCAACACATCCCACATTGTGGGACCAACAACGGTTATGGCCCTTTCATCACTAAAAAAAAGGAGTACAGGTTTTTTTTTTCACATTACTAATCTTTGTCAAAACTTTTCTTCTTACAAGAAGTTAAAGAAATCTTGAAACATTATCAGAATTAATATTTGAGGTTATATAAACAGCCAGCATATGCATTGATCACACCGCAAGGAGCATGAGTCCTAACTCCTAGAATTTGCAATGTTACACTCTAGGTGTTACCTATTACTCCCTCCATCCCAAAATAAGTGTCCACCTTTCCATTTTTACCCGTCCCAAAATAATTGTCCCATTTGAAAAGTCAATGTAATATTTTTTGCAATATTACCAATTTAACCTTCTTGCTTTGAACCTATAAAAATTAAATCATCACATCACTGTGGACCCACTAAGGGTAAATTGGGTAATTCATTCACTACTAATACAATAAAAAAAAAATAAAAGCCATCATCTTAAAAAGTTTGACTCCCAAAAAGGGACAATTAAAATGGGATAGAGGGAGTATATAGTATAGGCTGGAAGTCTAGATAGGATGAATGACTAGATAGGGTTCATGTAGTCAATGCAATGTAGATAAACATTTAAGGCTTTGTTAAAATGAATCAGGTAGTTCAATTTTAAGAATATAGAATCACAATGCATTCTGACCCAAGTCACATAATTCGCATGGATGACTACCGCTCCAGAGCTCCGCATGTGGTTTGACGATTTAGAATCCGCGAACTCAGTTTTAGAATTCGGCTTTTGTAAAGAAGAAGAGAGAAGATGAAGTCCGAAGAGATATATACATATATATGTACATAAATTTACATAGCTATCGTGTTGAAGCTATATTCGTCTCAATCTCCGTATTCGTGAAACCTTCAACTCCATTGTGAATCTGTAAAGAAATGAGAGATAAGATAGATCGATGCAAAATAAAATTCGAACATGAGAGAATATGATGGAGATGGGATCATGGGATTGTATCTCTGTGCGGCAGACGAAATAAAGGGTTTGTATATCTCTGGGACGAAATGAATGATAAAGCCTAAAGGGAAAGTAGTTTAGGGTTCCATTCCATGCTGCTGAAATGGTAAAGTGACCCTGCGGCTGCTGCTAGATGTTTTTTGGTAATCCTTTTAACATGTATATGAAATTGATCCAAGGGCTGAGATGAAATCATGAATTGGGCCAAATTTATTACTTAACTAAATGGATTTAATTTGAAATATTGGGCTTCCAAATAGGAATGTACTAATTGGCAAATAAATATAAGTGGACTTGGACTAAAATTATATATATGGGTTATGTTTTGCACTTCAAAGTTGGGCTTCAATCATTTTGAAAAAAATATTTAGTAAATTAATATAATCATATTTCACATAAAATAATTATAAAAATATAAAATATATTAGATACAGGCACTCTCAAGCCGCTCCCGCTCTCAACTAATTTTAGAATTTGCTGCTCTCGCTCTCGCTCCCGCATTATGTGACTTAGATTCTGACATCTAGGAGTGCTCCTTGAAGTAGCTGTCAGCAAGACTTCCTAAAAGGCAAACTCAATGTGAAAGCCTAAAAAAAGAAAAGAAAAAGACCACAACCATATCAGAAGTGCCTCCAAATACAGCTCAAGCATCCTTTGTGTTCCTCTTAATGTGTATTGCCACATCAGACAGTTAAATTCTGACATACACATATAAGAAGCTTGTAAAAACCCATCTGCACGTGATGGATATGGACACTGGCTAATTGGAAATATTGTTTAACATCAGCATAGAGCAAGGCTAAGTATGATCAGCAAAAAGGGGTGTGCTAGCGATCTATACTTGTATAGCATGATAGTAATTCCTTGAGCAATTATGACAATGATTTTGCATGGTACATTAATCTTAAGGGACAAATACTTCTCAAAACATTAGCACGTACACCGATTATGAAATTGAATGGGCAGAAAATGGAAAGTTGACCAGGTATAAAGCCGGTAAAAGATATGGTTTTAGTAAATTCCTGGCAGACATTAAAGCATAGAATTAATCAACACCATGATGTCCTAAAAGAAGTGGGGTAATCATACGAAGAAATTATCTCTGTTTTCTAGAGATGGCCTTGATAATTTTCATGGATAATAGGACACCAGTGATACTAATCCAAATGCTTATATAAATTCATCCTATATCTACATTCGAGAATTACAGGCAAATGATGGGTGAAGAGCTTTCTGGTCTGAGTGTCAAAGAGTTACAGGATTTAGAGAACCAACTGGAAATTAGTCTTCGAGGGGTCCGCACGAAAAAGGTTTGAAACTCCCATCCCCTAACAATGCTCATCATATGATCTTCTATATACTCCACTCCAACACATGCATAGTCCTTAACATAAATTTTTCTTATGTTGTAGGACCAAATTTTAATTGACGAAATACAAGAACTAAGCCAAAAGGTTGACTCGTAAAACTGTGGCCTCTAATTGTCATTTTTTTCTCCTTGAAAATCAACTGACTCAATTTCATTGGCTTGTTGCAGGGAAAGCTCATTCATCAAGAAAATGTGGAGCTGTATAAGAAGGTAAACCTAATTCATCAAGAAATCATAAGACTGCGTAAGAAGGAATTAGTTATGCTACAAAAACAAAAATAGCCTCTAGCAATCACTAAATCTGTGCAAAGTGTGAGCTGTTCCATACTCAGCTGAAACATTTTGCATCCCAGGTCTATGGAACAAGGGATGTAAATGGAGCAAATAGAAATTCCCTTCTTTCAAACAGTTTAAGTATTGGAGAGGATTTGCATGGAGTCCATCTCCAGCTTCGCCTGCCAGAGCAGCAAAACTATGAAACACCAGCAAGAGCCACAAAATTGGGGTAATTCTTCATCCATACATTTAAATATTTCAATTAAAAATACTAAATACTTTGCCAAATTATTGATCCCATACTTGTTTCTGTGAAAATGCGGCAGACTACAGCTGCATTAGAGAAGAAGATAAAACAATTGTGGACAGAAGTTAAGTGATTCCTTATCAATGGAAGGATCCATGGTTGCAAAGATGTGCCTCTATTAGCAAGAAATGGTGTATGAACCACAATACCATTTGCACAAAGTTTCCAATTCGACATTACCAATGAAATCAACTTTAGCAGTGTGAGGTGATGAAAGAAACCAGCTACTTTTATAAAGTCAAGAAGAAAAAGATTATAGGCACTTCATATGTTATGTGCTTTTAGCTATTCTGATATCATCCATTACACTTGCCTTTTTAGATGGACATATGGCTATAAATGTAGTAGATGCATTTGCTTTAATAAAAGATAGTTAAAAATACATGCATCCAAAGAAATATTCATCTGAGTTAAAAATACATGCATCTAAAGAAATATTCATCTGAGCACGATACCACCAACATGCAAGAAAATCAGGAGAAATGACCTATATAAACATATAATTTACAAATAACGCAACACAGACAAACCAATAAGTTACTTGAGAAACTAAATTGCCTTTGAAAGAAGAGACAGGAATATATATGCTCCATGACAAAAGTAATTTGAATAAATTAAGCAATTTTCAGATTAGCATTAATCTGCACCGCATAAATAGAAAATGAAATTAGTAGCAAATTTTCTTTTACTTTCAAGTTAGAAAAGGAGCAACGCACCTTATTTCAATGATGTAGTCTCTTACCCAATTACAACGTCCGGACTCAATATTCTATTGTACAAATTTGAAAATTGTTCTCAATTGTTCTGCAATAATTTATGCCTGGACACATAAGCTGACAGTGTTACCGAAAGTGGACATACAGCTAATATAAATAGGTAGAAAGGAAACTGTAATGCAAATCAAAGATAACAACAGACAGACAGACAGACAGATAAATATATATATATATATATATATATATATATAGAGAGAGAGAGAGAGAGAGATCAATATGCACATAGAGCCTTCTTAATTTGAAGTGTGTTCTAAACATGTTACATCTTCAATTTATAAAAAGAATGCAGTCACAGAGTATGACTGAAACAACAAATCCACAAAAAATCTTCTAAACATCCAGCTAGCCACATATCAATGAGATTGGACAGTTCAATTTACTAAGATACATTGTAAAAGAAAAAAGAAAAAAAAAAAAAGATGAATGATGCATAAAATCATTACAAGTATACAACACAGCACTGCATTGAGAAAATCTATATCTTCCATCACACAAATCTAATGTTGGTGCAATCCAAAGAAAACAAAAATCTCTAGACAATAGTGGCCCTGAGACTGCAATAGAACTCCCTCAATTAAGTTTAGAAAAGAAACCTGTGCAGGCAGGAATTCTCCAACGAGTGGCACATTGGTAGTCCTTGTTAGTGCACTTAAACAATAAGGCTTTTTATTGTGAGAATTCATCAATAGCTATAGGCCATAGAAATAAAATGCAACTAAAGTTGGGTGACTGCAATTCTCAACCATCTGATTTTAGCAAAATGCTTAAGATATAAATTATTTCAAAGCAAAAAATCAATTTCAGATTCAAATCGTCCAAGTTCAGTAGTCTATCTTATGGTTGGACAAAGTTTCACAAGTCAAGGCACAGTACTTGAGAATTTTTAAGAAGTCAAGCGTTGGATCTGGTTTTGAGATTCAAGATAAGAACACCAGCAAATTTTATGATAAATTTTGAGAAATATTCCCAAAACTAAGGGGCGACTTTTAAAGGGAAACAACGGGACATGTTAGGAAACAAAAGCATTAGTTTCGATCCAAATAGCCTAGTATCGTGCAGAAGTTGGGAAGCCAATGACAATGAAAATTTCTTCTGATCAATAGTAAGAATTGAACCTTTGACCTTAAATGTGATGCCAGCACTTCACCACAATGATACACCCAGCTTTGGCCTTTATGAAAAATTGTCAAGAACTCGGAAATTTCTTTTAAAACAAATGAATAAAAATCATGGTTGGGACAATGTTTCATTCTTATAGTTATGGTGCCAGTGTATCACATCAAAATTCTTTAATATAATTATGAATTTTGACCGTAAATTTAGGAAGAAATCAATTATTGTTAAAATTTAGATAAAACTTGATTAAAGGAAAAATAAGAAAATAAAAGTAGGCCAAAAAAGGAGGTTGAAAAAATAACTTCAGTACAAATCTTTTGATAAACTAATTTAAATTCGAAATAATATTACTCGTACAATAGGTAAAGAGCCACACCGTACAGGACTTAAAAGATTATTTTCAACATCAAAATAAATCCAATCATGAAGATGTCCTATCAGGTCCACAACAAATTTTCTCAGTGCTAGAGGATGAAAAATCAGTTATAGGAAGACTATAACATTCTCAGTGAATTTCGTTCATAAATTGCAGGAATCCCACAAATATGTGTGAAGTGCTACCAATGTCAGCTGAGACATGTTATGGAGACAGGAAAGGCTATGTGGATGTCACAGTTACTCCAGAACAAGTTACCGTAGGGGTGGCATCTTTATATTAAATAATTGAAGATTAGAATGTACTAAGCTACTCTCAGATGCAAGACCAGTTCTTTTCTAACAGTAATCATTTTTGTCAAAGAATATTTTTGTTCATTTTAAAAGCCTGTTTACAATGCAGGAGCATGACTTGCCTTGTTATCTTGATGCGTATGGTTTTTCCCATGTCCCAAGTTATTGTAGCCTCAAAATTCTAATTTTCAAGATTTCATTTTTTAAAAAGATATTGCCTTGCAGAGAAAAACAATAAAGGAATCAAAAATGAAGAATAATATTAGATCACTAAATTTAGTATTCTGGAACAAAAGTATATTGTGTTTTGGGTAGTCTAAAGAGATTGCATGAGTGATATCATTTGGGAAACTACATTTTCTAACAACACTGGGTTCAAAACTAAGAAAAAAGGAGACGAGCATTTGACTTGATGCTTAGCAAATACCACAGGATTGCATTGATAAATCAACAAACCATTTGAAATGAATCAAGCTTTTCTAAAAAAATAAAATAATAAATAAAATAATACAAATAAATAAATAAAATTACTGTAAGTGAACAGAACTATTTTACAATAAATTTAACATATGCAATGGCAGGAAGTTGTTTAAAAGAATTAGCAAAGCATAAAAACTGGAAAATTCATCCAGCTACAGTGTAGAGACAGGAAAGTCATATGTTAATTTTTTATGATAAAAAGAAAATCATTTCCTAGAGGTCATTGTTTCCTTTATCATGTCCATTAAAACACAGGACAAAAATGTTGTATCTATGGTATTCCAAAATGACACCTGATTTACCAAGGAATCTAAATATTTAGGAGATTTTGAAGGTCTGAGCAAATAAACAGCCCTAAAGGGGGGTACATATACCAAAAAAAATATATATATATGGTAAAAATGGTTGTTTACAGAAAATGGTTGCTTGTTAACTGTTTTTTTTTTTTTTTTTTTGGATAAGTAATAAGTATTAACTGTTAAATCATTTTCAAAAGGGTCATTCTCCCCCGATGAGAAACTTCATAGCACTTTCTAACCAATGGTTGTTCAACAAGTTCCACAGTCTCTCAATGATTTTCCTTATCTAGAATTCTACTGTTTTCGAAAGTTAAAGCAAACACACACACACACCCATTACAGACCCCGGTTCCTTTTCTAGAATTCTAGCTGTAAGAAGAAAGTGATGACCCTCTCACAAAGGAGGATGGGCAAGTGAAAAACGGAAACATGGTAGCTATTGAACTAGTTACCTTCCTACTACTTGTATTAACACTAAATACATTTTTTTGCTATTAATATCATTGAACAATTTTACTTTACTACTTTCAGCATCTCCTTAACGTTCCTAAAACAGTGAGGTTGTTGGTCTCTCACAGCATTTAGCAGGATTCATATGCGTGTGTGATGAATTTTGAGGAAGGAATCAGTTCATTGGATCTTCTGAGTGACATCAAAAGATTAAAGAACAAGTCTTTGAAATCGGAAATTTGAATTTCTTTAACCTCCTGATGAGGACCATTCTAGAGATATCAAACATAACAAACAGACAAAGATTCCTGAATCAAAAGAGGTTGCCCAATGTACTATTCCCAGTTGCAGTTAATAAAGAATATCTCTAAGAAACAAGGTAATAGTAGAAAATCGAAATATATTTTCAACTTAAAGGCTCTAATCATTGTTTGAGAACATAATTCAAATCAAAACAAATAAAATAAATAAATTCTGCCAACAAACTCCAACACATTTTAATGTAAAGCCGAATTAGATAAGCATGTGTCATCAAGTAAATAATACAAACGTTGCACGTGATGCAGTTGATGAAGGACAAGTGTAGGGAAAAACCTTCCTACAAGCTCTAATACCGGGTAGAAAAAAACGTTTCTACCTTATCCAGTACCTAACTGATATAGTACCTTTAGAGTTAAGCAATAATTATGGTTATTAAGGTAAGAGTTGAAAGTAAAAAGGTTTAAGGTTAGTTAGGAATTGGATGGGTAGAGTAATGGGACTGTTCTGACCGTTAATGTGCTGTAAAAAGCAATCCTTGGGTTTTTGCATTTTCAGGTTTCTAGGGCTGAATAATTAATGGATGGAGTGATGCAGATTGGACTGGCTCAATTGATGATAAATGGTCCACCACATGTTATTGCACCTTTATTGGAGGAAATTTGGTTATTGGAGGAGCAAGAAACAATCAGTAGTGGCTCAGTCCAGTGCAGAAGTAGAATACAGGACTATGGCTCATGAGGTATGTGAACTCATATGGATTCAGACCTTGATGAGTGATTTAGGTATCATGGATGATGGTCAATTGAGACTTTTTTGTGACAATAAAGTGGCCATTAGTATTGCACATAACCTCATTTAACATGATAGAACGAAGCATATTGAGATTGACAAGCACTTCATCAAGGAAAAGTTGAACAATGGAGTGATTTTATGCCCTTCATGAATTCAGAAGAACACCTAGCAGATGCATTCACTAAGGGTTTGAGTTGTAATATCTTCCTTGCCATTGTAGACAAATTGGGCATGAGAGATGTCTATGCACCAACTTGAGGGGGAGTGATGGACTATGTGGGATGTCAAGAGCTTACTACAACCCTTTCTTACATCCGTTTTCCTCTTTTCTTATTTTTGCTTTTCTCCTCAAACCCTAATCATCTAAACCCTAAAATATAATTTCAACTTTTTATTTATTGCTTTATGCGTTTATGTGATTGCTATTGAAACACAAATCAAACTAATAAACTGAATTTAAATAAGGATTAACAGTAATTCAAAAAGTTAGTTAATTTTATTTTAGTATCCATAAAGCCTACTCAACCACTAAAAAGATGGTCTGGGAGGAGTTGAAACAAGAGGGACAACAATCTGTGGAGTAGTATACCACCAATAGTATCGGCTACTGCGGCAGTGCGGCCACGGCCAGAAGGACGATTGAGAGAAAATTTTTGCTTTAGCTCTGGATGAAGCTTAAAGCAACGACCTTTTACATGACCCGTGGCTACACAATGTTGACAAATAACCTTTCCCTCTAAAAGTTTAGAATTAGCAGCAAGAGCCGTCTAATCAACTGGAGTCTCAGCAAGAGCCATCTAATCAACTGGAATCTCTGGTAAAGCTACTCACTGAGAGACCTAACGTCTATGCTCCTCATGGTCAACAATAGCGAAAGCATCATATAAATCAGGCATATGAGAGGTGTCTATGATCCGAGTTCTAAGAGCATCATACTCAGATCGTAAACCCATCAAAGATTGGTAGGTATGCTGGCG